TCTATACTGACCAGTTGCACTGTATTAAATTGATAATCATTGAGGAGTGACGTACATGTACAGACAGATCACAGTGATCTCATACTATAAAATAGTAGGACTCACTCATGCTCACCACAATTATATTATAATACTTACCAGTTCTTTCCATTCCATTTTGTTTATATTTAACAACCAACAGTCACTGGTACCCTTTCCACCCACCACTAGTAGGTGTGGTCCTGAGCTACAGTTGATCAATACACTGAAATGAGCAAATCTCTCCTTAGGCCATTGTACTGATCCTCCAGGATTTGGAAACTTTGTACATTTCTAAAATAATAAAATATTTAATTATCATAAAACATACACAGTTTTGCACACAATAATAATACACACATACTGTACATGTACAATACATTATTAATTTAAGGCCTTTTCACACTGGCCAAAGCGAATTAATCTTGTTTTCAAATTAATGTGCATCACTTCACCTCCAGAGGTGGATTGATGTGAAGTGATGAGCTTTGATCAGTGTAAACCAATGGCAACAAGAACACAAGATGATACATAATCCAGCTGCTAGTGTGAACAAGATGAATGTACATTATTTCAGCTGTATCAACAAAGCACTTTGAAAACTATGCCAGTGTGAAAAGGCCTTAATACCCGTACAAGATGATTTATTGGCGAGGAATTAATATTGGCGATTGGCGAATTAATTTATAATTCGCCAATATTAAAATCATCAATATTTAATCCGTAGGTATCTAGACACGCCCACAATTAAATGAGACGCCCATTGCACACTCATAGCTGTTGCAACACATCATGGTGCTACACAAGTACTTTAAGAAGCAAAGAAAAGAGCAAGAAGAGCATTTGGACGAGTTAGAAAGCTCTAAAGAAGCACCAATACCTTTACCTTCTGTGGTATCATAGTTTTCTAAGAAAGAATTATTAATGAATAAATTAATTTAATAACAAAATTGCCAATATAAAATCCGCCAATAATATTCCAGAGACAGATTCGCCAAATATTCCTCTTGCCAATAAATCATCTTGTACGGTACATGATATTCATGTAATTATACTAATAATACACTCACCACTGACGTATCAGTAAATTCAAATGCATATACATCATTACTCCTTCTACCATCACCAATACCACCACCAAACAATATAGCAGCGGTATTAGTTATTGATGTTAAAGTGAAGTCACAAATAGGAAGTGGTCTGTCTCCAGTGACAGTTGGTGAAGTCCATTCAC